TCCACTCATGTATTGATGGGCACTTGGGTTGTTTCCAAATCTTTTCAATTGTGAATTGTGCTGCTATAAACATTTTAGTGCAGATGTCTTTTTTATAGAATGTCTTTTGTTCTTTTGGGTAGATGCCCAGCAATGGAATTGCTGGATCAAATGGTAGTCATAAAAATGGAAAAACAAGCACCACATGTACTCACCATCAAATTGGTATTAATTGATCAACACTTAAGTGCACATATAGTAATAACATTCGTCGGCGGTCGGGCAGATGGGAGGGGCAGGTAGGGGATGGGTATATACACACCTAATGGGTGTGGTGCACACCATCTGGGGGATGGACACACTTGAAGCTCTGACTGGGGTGGGGCAAAGGCAATATATGTAACCTAAACAATTGTACCCCTGTAATATGCTGAAATAAAAAAAAAACATTAAAAAAAAGGAAAAACTAATCTGGATAACTTTCATATAACAAAATTCTCCTTCCTGTACATATTTTAACCAGGTTGTAAATTGTCTTGTTTTTGTTTTTGTTTATAAGTGGAAACAAGTTTTTGTCCTTCCTGGCCATAGAATTAATTTGTTCACTCAAACTTCCATGAAAAAATTTGTTTCTAGTATGATAGATACATGTGAGTGGCTTTGGGTCTCCAAGAGAAAATTGTTCTTATATTAAAGAACAGCAATAATCCCTGAATTGAGAACAAAGCCTGTAACATTTCTGAAAATTCACAAGTCCATCTTTATTTTAAGGAGGTACTCACCCTTTTGGCTGATGCTATCACTGCAAAACAGGCGATAATTGTGAGTCCAATCATTATGTAACAAGCTTTTACTCGAGCTTTGTTTCTTGCAGCATCTATCATTTCTGGCCTAAACCAAGATGTGTAGTTTGTTAATTATATTAAAGCAGTATGGTTTTCTTACATCAAGAGATGATTTGCTATGTAGATATTTCAAAAATTTCCCTGAATGCAAACTGCAGATGTGAAAGATTTCCAAATGGTAGCCCATTATCTTACCAATTTCAAATTATTTATTCAGATATTATACTAATGTTAGCCACTAAAAAACCATAGTGTAGTATATTTAGTTTCTAATTGCTCAAAATATAAATACTGGAGATTATGACCTGACTCTCCATTATTTTTATTCATCAGTTGGAATAAAAGTAGGAGTTAAAGCATATGTATGTCTATGACTTGTATTCATTCAGCCTCAGTGTTCAGTAGGTTTTGTTTTCCATTTTTAATAGATTATTATTTTTTAAAACTCATTTACATCACTTATTTTTTTCACTGGCTTCCCAATCTGTTTTTGCTCCTTGCCATCTTATTCTGAAAAGAGACTATTAT